CCAAGTACTAGATTATGGCAAACTTGCCTATGCAGGCGAAGTTGCCTAGGCGGGCGAACCAATGGCAATGAGGAGTTGCCTCATGAATAGTGCATTTGCGAATCAAGTGCTCTCTAAGATCCCCTGTAGGTTGCTGACAACCCCCAGTATTAGAAGGATCAGCTGAGTGCATATGCAAAGGAAAGCGCTTATTAGAGCACTCGAAAAAATCATCAAGTGCTGGACTCTGGCGAACTTGCCTATGCAGGCGAAGTTGCCTAGGCTGGCGAACCTGCTTGATCTGGCGAAGTTCGTCTATTCGGGCGAACTTCGTTGTCTGGTGAAGTTCGTCTATTTGGCGAACTCGAGTTTGTTGGTGAGGTCTAGCCTGCTTTTCATTCAAGAAAAGTTCGCCTGTATGGCGAGGTTAGCCTATTTGAGCTTGCAAGCGAGGTTGGGCTGTCAGGCGAGCCTGGTAAGGTTCGCCAACTACCTTAAGTTCGCCTGATTAGGAAGGTCCGCCTGATTGGTGACTTTCGCCAACAATGCAAAGTTCGCCTGATCTGCTTACTTCGTCATATTCGTGCATTTTGCTAGATCTGCGTAGTTCACCAAAATTGGGAACCTTACGTTTGTTCTTCAGGCCTGAATAGTAATTTAGGTCATCGTAGGAGATGAGGGCACGTGCCTCGTGGCGAGCAAGAGCTTGTCGTCGCCTTTGCTTGGCTCTTCTTGAAAGAGGAGCGTTCATATCAACATTGAATGTATGATCTGCACCGATATGAATTGTGGTCTCCTCGAGAACAGAAGCTTGCGTGGATTGCTTAACAACCCATCGAGCAACTCCCTGGCTTGCATTCTTGGCCTTTTGGTCAGCCTTAAACAACTTGGGAGAGATGGAACCCCCAGCGCTTGCTCGGGTAGAGCTCTCAAGCATACTAGCCTTAGCTTGCTGAGGTTGAGTCACACGCAAGACTTTGCGACATTTACGTGACATTTTGCCACTAGCAGAAGCCGAAGATAGGTACTCTTCATACCTAGCTTCATCAAACTCAATGATGAGGGACTCAACGGTAGTCCCTGCAACAACCACGTCGAACTGCACCATCACCATCTCGTCTGACAGAATGGCCTCTCTCACTGTGGTCGCCATCTTCTGTTTGTCGTAAAATAAGATCTCAAAATTTGTATTGATTGAATTGTTTATTACAAATTGAAATCGCTTTTACACAAAAGCAGAGAGAATTGATTCGATCTCTCCTTGTTTAACATGGGCTCTTTGGGGCGATAGGATGCTTCACTCGATGCTCGTGTCGAGTTTGCTTCCCTTTGACGATTCGAACAAGGTTGCAGACAAACTTCAGCGCGTAGTAGAAGTTTGGTTAGATGAGTTTGAAGGCCGAACAAGTGCTTGATTGCTTATAGGCCGAGTATGCCGAGTTCTCAAAGTTCGGTCCTCTTCTCCTGAGGATTCGAACAAGACTTCCAATAAGCTTCGTCGCGTGGTAGAAGCTTTATCATAGTTTGAATACCCGAGCTAGGATATTTGAGAGCTGAGTGCACAAGATGCTAGGTTTGTCTCATTGCCTCCCCACATTTCCTCTCTTTTCTGCCCCCTTTTCTTGTAGAGATCAGTGGCTTTTTATAGAGGAGAATGGTTAGTAACCACCCTCTCAAAACGTGGAAAGTGGGCACAACCACTTCCACAATTCAAGCTTTTGTGGCTGACTTGGTCAAGCTGTGCAAGCGAGCTTGACAATTCAGGTGAGCTTGGGCGAGCTTGCAGGCGAGCTTGGCACATGCAAGCGAGCTTGGCACATGCAAGCGAGCTTGGAACCTCGTAGGCGAAGCTATCAGGCAAGCTTCAATCATTTCAGGCAAGCTTCAAGCGTTCAGGCGAGCTTGGCTCATGCAGGCGAGGTTGGAGTATGCGGGCGAACCTCGTAGGCGAAGCTATCAGGTGAGCTTCAATCAATTCAAGCAAGCTTCAAGCGTTCAGGCGAGCTTGGTTCATGCAGGTGAGCTTCATAAGTTAAGCGTTCAGGCGAGCTTAACTTTGTTCAGGCGAAACTCAATGTTTAGGCGAACTTGGCCTTGTCCGCAGAGTCAAGTATTCAGGCGAACTTGGCTTTGCTTATTTGATTCAGGCGAAGTCACACTATCAGGCGGACTTGCCTTGAATGTTCAGGCGAACAAGTAGACTTGGCTTGGTTCAGGCGAAGTTCAAGTGTCGAGGAACATAATTTGCTGCGAAGAATGAGTCATAACTTTCAAACCGTAAGTCGGAATTAGACGAATTATATATGAAAATCGACTATCTCGACGAGACGGGGCCGATCAAGCCCATTGAAGTTCGGTTTTCCACCGTCCGTTTCGCCAAATTCCCTCCGATTTGAGAGATATCAACGTTTTTGTTCGTTTTTTACTATTTTTGGTAATGTTCTTGCAGGCAAACTTCTGAATTTCTCTGTTAGGGATAAAGGCAATTTTATTGTCCTACAGTTCAAAACAAAAACACAAATCATGAACCTCGCTTCATTTTTGAACCCTCCACAAAGTGCTATCTTTTGTATCCCACACATTTATTCTGACAATATTGTATTCCACATGCTTTGTTACAATCAACAACTCAAAAACCTTAGAATTTTTTTCCTGAACAGAATGCGTCCAGCTTAACAATCAACTTCCTTGATTTGGATTTGGGGTTGAAGCATTGGATCATACAAGCAACAAGTATTAAACTTTGCCTAGCTCAACTTCTTATCCATATCCAAGCTAGATCTTCAAATATAAATTTGTACATGCTTCAGCATGATTAATATTCAAGTTTGATATTCATCCTCCAGAAGCATTCATTGTGCTTATCTTATCCATCACTTGGGTTGATTTTTCTCTATAATTCTTCAAAACTATTCTTGAAATCCTAGTTGCAAGAGGGAAAGAAATTCAAGCTCAACCACCTAGACCACATCATTTTCTAATTTGGTTATTTTCCAATGTCCTAATTAGATGATAGTGCAGTTTTCGTTTTTACTTCTAATATGTTACAATTCTAGTTTGTTGAGTTTTCTCTTATTTTATTTCAATCCCATTTTTCGAAGAAAGACTAAAGTTTAATTTTGAACTTAGAAACTCCTGTGACCCTAGCCTCTCCGCTTTATCACTAACTTGTGTGTTATAATTCCATTTTACTGGGGGAGCAACAGTAAACTTAGGTGACCCTTACACAACGAAATGAGATGTAGATAAAATTGCCAAGATGTAACAAAAAATAACAATGGAATTAACTACTTCTTTGTCCATAATTTAATCGAATGAACCAGCCATACTGATCGAGACGATAACTTATCATAGTTGCCTTATAATAAGAGGGCAGAAAGATATGGGATTACGCCAAACTTGCTGATAACTTGAATCTTTCAAAGGGCCATCTAAAGCTTATATGTCAATCACCATTATTCTACTCAATAATAGATCTATAATTTTTCATTTGGTCGAAGGTCATTAAAATATCGAAGGAAAACTTTACAACAGTGCCAAGGGCTGAAGTAAAATTATGAAATTATTTGAGTCCCGATCTATGAGGAAGCACGCGCTAGTTGCTGAGCAAGAAAGGATGTCATGAGTTTGACACTATAAGCCGACATTATTGGTGCTTAAGTACTCTGGATGACTCTGGAGATTAAAATAATCACAAAAGATCATTACTAACAATCCCTTGATTAGTTAGTTAAGTGTTTGAAATATTAAGAATGTAGCTAGATAGGGGGCAGACTGACCTGGATCTATCCATACTTGTTAATACAATATGACAGGGAGCTGATTCATACATTCCAATCTAGAACAAAAAGTTTGTGATATAATCACGGTTCTTACCGTTATTTTGTAATTTACTGGGATATATCAACGGCATGGGTCCCACTGATTTTTATTGTCATACTGTTTTAAGCAGTTATTGGAAATCATCTACAGGACAAAGGTTTAACTTCAAGCATTTTCCTGAGAAAATAGTATTCAAAATATTTAAACGAAAATTTTAGAGAAAATATGTAGATTGTAGAGAAAGAGAGAAGACAAAGTTATCATTCCATTACAAAATAGGTATGAGATAAAATCACATCTAATAACTTTTCATAATATCTACTAATAATAATAATGTCTCACATAAATGTATGTAAATTACCTGTGAGACGAATTAATACTACTACATGCCTTGTGAACATCCAAGTTTCAGGTTGGCTCTACTGCCACACATAAAAATATCAGGTTTGTTGATGAAAGCTAATGTTCCTCCAGCTTTGTAAAGTTTGTGTAAAAGCCTTGAGAGCACTGAGGTTTTGGAGTACAGAAAAAGGTTTCAGGAAAGAAAAAAAAATCTACTAACTATTTATTCCAGATCAATCTATTAATATTGAGTTTAGATTCAGAGTTAGTAGTTTATTGTTTGGTGGTGGTGTTATTTTCTTGGTATCTTTTTTCCTTTTGAGAAAATTGCATCCAAAATTTAAATTGCAATTCTAATATGTAAATATGTAGAAATGCCTGATAGAATGCAAAAGACTTGGAATATTTCTCTGGTTTTGTGAAATTTTAGTCTAACAATCTTATGTCGAGGTTTCGGAGTACAGGAAAAAATCAAGGAAAACTTCAACTAGCTATTATTCCAGACGAATTAAACTCTCTAAAAATGCTGGTTAGAACTGTTTGATAATGTTGATTTTCTTGCAGAAAATAGCTTTATGTTCTACTATTTGTCTGTTTATGTGGTACCGAAATGAGTATTGAGCTGCATTTTCATTCATTTTTTTTTTTTTATCTTTTGCCCTGTTGAAAATAGTTTGGAGTTTATTCTATGTGCTGAACATTCTATCAACATACAGTCTGTCAGTTTTACATAATTTGCTGCATGATTAGTCTTCTGGTGCCAGTATCCAACTTCACCTAGAAATTTATTCCAATACTTAAATTTCTCCTCTGAAAGACATCTAACGGTCGATCAAATATCTATCACAGGAATGAACGACGGATCTTACGTCCACATCAGCACCGCACATCTCAGGAGACATTTCCCAGATGCAGCCTGATCCTTGGAATCATCCATGGGGCCTTGTCTCCTCATAACCCGTGTTAGTGATGCGGCGATGAGATTCTTACCCCCTGATTAACTATAGCCCAACTTCTATAAACTATTCCAACAAATGGGGCCTGTTCATTCAAATGTCAACGGTTACCATCTGGTATAAATGCTCTTCCACTCTCATACTCAATTCATCCATCCATTCAAAACGTGTGTTCTCTTTGCATCCTACTATTAATCCATGGATATCTCTATGGAGCCAGAGGTGAAGGACATGGCTCTTGACGAAACCAAATTCGATCTCCCTGTCGATTCTGAGCACAAGGCGAAAACCCTAAAACTCTTCTCTTTCGCAAACCCTCACATGCGAACATTCCACCTCTCCTGGATCTCTTTCTTCACCTGCTTCGTCTCCACCTTTGCCGCCGCCCCCATGATCCCCATCATCCGTGACAACATCAACCTGACAAAGGCCGACATAGGCAATGCAGGTGTAGCCTCCGTCTCTGGCTCCATTTTCTCCCGTCTTGTCATGGGTGCAGTCTGCGACATTTTGGGTCCTCGCTACGCCTGCGCATTCCTCGTCATGCTCATCGCACCTGCGGTTTTCTGCATGTCTTTGATATCCTCGGCGGAAGGATATATTGCAGTGAGATTCATGATTGGATTCTCGCTGGCGACGTTTGTGTCGTGCCAGTACTGGATGAGCACGATGTTCAATAGCAAGATTATTGGCATCGCTAACGGGACGGCGGCCGGATGGGGGAATATGGGGGGAGGAGCTACGCAGTTGCTGATGCCGTTGGTGTATGATTTGATAAGAAAGATAGGGGCGACTCCGTTCATTGCTTGGAGGATCGCCTTCTTTATTCCAGGATGCATGCACGTCATAATGGGACTCCTGGTTCTCACAATGGGCCAGGATTTGCCTGATGGAAACCTTGGCAAACTCAAAAAACAGGGAGACGTCAACAGAGACAAGTTCTCCAAGGTAAATATTTGTCCGCCTGAATTTTGGCTGGGTCAGTTTGGCAAAAGTTGGCCAAAACAAAACCAGTTTAATTTAGGTCCTGATTCGGTATTTCCCAAATTAAAGCCAGGTCTAAAACTGGATTTGTTCCACTAAGCCAAGTTAAGACCTATTTTCTACTATGAGAGGTTCCTCGTCTTATTTGCTCTTTTCATGATGTCAGGTTCTGTTGCACGCGGTGACCAACTACCGAACATGGATCTTTGTCCTTCTCTACGGATACTGCATGGGCGTCGAGCTCACCACCGACAACGTCATCCACGAGTACTACTACGACCACTTCCACCTCGACCTCAAGACCTCCGGTTACATCGCCGCATCCTTCGGCATGGCCAACATCATCGCCCGCCCCTTCGGTGGGTTTGTCTCCGACTTCAGCACCAAGCGCTTTGGCATGCGCGCTCGTTTATGGAACGTCTGGATCTTACAGACCGCTGGCGGTGCTTTCTGCATGTGGCTCGGCCAAGCCAAGTCCCTCCCCGTCTCTATCTTCGCTATGATTTGCTTCTCGGTCTGTGCTCAGGCAGCTTGTGGCGCGATATTTGGCGTTATCCCCTTCGTCTCTCGACGATCTCTTGGAATTGTGTCAGGGATGACCGGAGCCGGAGGAAATTTCGGCGCTGGGCTAACACAAATTATGTTCTTCACTAGCTCACAGTACTCGGCGGGCACAGGGCTTACTCTGATGGGGATAATGATAATGGCGTGCACGTTGCCTGTTGCTTTCGTGCATTTTCCGCAGTGGGGGAGCATGTTCTTGCCGGCGTCGAAGAGTGTGACTGAAGAGGATTACTATGGCTGGGAGTGGAGCGAAGAGGAGAAGCAGAAGGGCTTGCATGCTGCGTCCATGAAGTTTGCCGATAACAGTCGGTCGGAGAGGGGACGGCGCGCCCCAATCGCCTCGGTCCCGACGCCGCCAAATGCAACGCCGGTGCACGTTTAGGGATCACAAATGGGAATCACGAATAAGACTGAGAACACATTGAGCTTCTTATGTTATTAGCTGAAAAAGAGGAAGAGAGTCAAATAGCGAGGAGATGAGCGTGATTGTGAGTAGGATAGGATTTTTTTTTCCCCTTTTTTTAAATGGAGGAAATCTTTCCATTTGAGCTATAACAATTATTTCCCAACTGTTGAAGAAATTTGGGATCCTACGTGTTTGCCTCCTCACCTGCAGGCTGCAGCATTCTTACTAGGTTTTCACAAAGCCGAAATCTTACTAAGTTTTCACAAAGCCGTAGCCTCCTGTCACCACAGAAGGCGACTCCGATTACCTCCAGATTGAGAACTGAGAGAGTCCAAGCCCGGTTGTAGCTTTGGCGATCACACACTGCTGCCGTTCAATGTATGTCGATGTGGCTCTGTACAAACTGGTCCAGAGAAGGTGAAATCAACGGTTTCATACCCTCGTTTCCTCTTCGCCATACCGTCGCCTGGATTTGTGCTAATTGATAATTCTTCTCTACCTGTATTTAGATCGTCTTTCTAGCTTTAAACGTCGGGCGTTTTCTTCACATATGAGCATCTGCCTGTGTTAATTGGCTGAACTTTGTGGTGTTCACTTCAGCTTATCTTAACATTATCCATTGAGTAAAGAGGTCCTTCGCCTGGCTCGTGTACTGTTTTATTATTGCACATCTTCAGAATCTTGTTAGGACGTAACTATATAGCATGAACGACCGCGACGCTTGATTTTTGTTTTAATGTTAGAAAGAACTCTTTGTGAAATGCTTGGTGAAACTGTGTATTGAGCTTAAAATTGTTTACTGATTGAAATGCTGATCCTTCCTTAATCATATATCGGTTGCTAACTGGTTGAGTTTTTGAGCCGAGTTACTCGCTTTTGATGCGTATTGGAGCACATACATGGACCTACATGCACAAAGACCCATGACTCGACTGACTCGCACGCTCTCTCGCGCACGCACATTCCCATATTATGACATGTTAATAGCGTTAATTTTGTTACTCGAAAAATAACGATCATCTTTTCATCCTTTCTCTGTATCTTTTTCCTGGTAGACTGATGCTTCTCATGTTCTGACACAGAAGGATGCACTACAACAAGCATGAATAAGATGGCACATCAGTACCGTATCTGTAAGCTAGTTTCCTTTTCTTTTTTAAGGAGAAAAGATGAGGGATCACCAAATGGGTAAGTCTGTCAAAACCAAAACAGGATACATGTCAGTGTCTCAATGTTTAAGCTCATCTATTATGTACACTTGTTGTGTTACATTAAACAATAGAACAACATAGACTAATTTATTTTGACTGTTAAAGTAAGAGAGAGAGAATCTTGGGTAAATTTCCCTTGAATTGAATATTGAGTATGCACCTATATTTATACAAGTAGAGGAGTGTGAGGTTTGTTCTCCCAAGCAATGTGGGACTAAAACCCACTACAATACACTATTATCAACAGCCCCCTTCAAACTCATGTTGGATCAAACAAAGTGAGTTTGCGTACAAGAAACTGGAACCGATGAACAGGTAAGGCCTTTGTAAAGAAATCTGCAAGCTCGTCAGCGGATGAAACATGAGGAAGTAGAATTGTCTTGTCCTTGATAACTTGGTGACGGACAAAATGAGCGTCGATCTCAATATGTTTGGTCCTTTCATGAAATACTGGATTATTAGCAATCTGGATGGCACTCTTATTATCACAGTAGAGAGGAGTAGGAGTCGTAACGGAAATGCCGAAATCACTGAGAAGGCGACGAAGATGAATAATCTCTTTAGCTGTTGTGGACATTGCACGATACTCTGCCTCAGTACTGGAAAGAGCAATAACATCTTGTTTCTTACTTCGCCAGGAAATAAGGGAATCACCAAGAAATATAGAATAACCTGTGGTAGACTTTCTGGTAGTTGGATCACCAGCCCAATTAGCATCAGAATATGCACAAAGCTCTAACTTAAATGTAGCAGGAAACAAAAGAGAGCGAGTGCTAGTACCCCGGAGGTACCGAAGAATCCGTAATAAGACAGCATAGTGTACAGAACGTGGAGCACTAACAAATTGACTGACAATACCAACAGCATGAGAGATATCTAGTCGAGAGATGCACAAATAGACCAACTGGCCAACAAGATGTCGATATCGGGTAGGATCAGATAGAGGCTCACCGTCAGTAGAGCAAAGTTTGACATTCTGCTGGAGTGAAGTATCGACAGTTGTATTATCAGTTAGCTCAGCTTGATTTAGAATATCTGAGAGATACTTCTGTTGAGACAGTAATACACCTCGCGGGCCTTGAGAAATTTCTAGACCAAGAAAATACTGAAGAGATCCAAGATCCTTCATGTGAAACTGTTGTTGCAACTGAGATTTTGCGTATTGTATACCTGCCATATCATCACCTGTAATGATCATATCATCTACATAGATGAGTAATAAAACTCTGCCGCGCGATGTAGTGCGAACAAACAGAGAAGCATCTTGATAACTTTCTATAAAGCCCGCTTTGAGCACGACATCGCGAAAACACTCAAACCAAGTGCGAGGTGCCTGCTTGAGACCATAAACAGCACGGCGAAGGGGACATACATGTCCCGGAGGAATATTTGACCCTGGAGGCGGTTGCATATATATGGTATCTGATAAAGAGCCATGAAGAAAAGCATTTTTGACATCCATCTGGTATAAGGGCCAACGATGAGCAGCAGCGACGGCAAGGAGAGTACAAACAGTGGGCATCTGAGCAACAGGAGCAAATGTCTCCTCATAATCAATACCTTGTTGCTGAGTAAAACCTCGAGCCACTAAACGAGCTTTTCGACGTTCAATGATGCCATCAGGACGAAACTTGACCTTATAAACGCATTTACTGCCAACAAGAGAGATCCCAGGAGGACAGGGAACAACATCCCAGGCATGAGTTTGCTGAAAGGCTTGAAATTCCTCAGCCATAGCCTGTCGCCACTCTGGAATTTGAACTGCCTCTTGGAAGGACTTTGGCTCAACAATAGTATGAATGGCAGCAAGAAAGTTATGAAAGATAGGTGAATAAGAAGTAACAGAAGCATACCGGACATGCATGACATGTGGGCGTTTGCCTCGACGAAGAGCAAGAGGAACCTCAGGCGGGGGAGATGCTGGCGCAGGTGCATGAAGATCAACAGTATTTTCTGGAGTGAGAGTTGTGTCCACAGGATATGGATTAGATGGTGTAAGAGAAGACTCAGGTGAGGAAGAGTCAACAGAAGGAGAGGGAGAGATGTCAGGGAGATCTCGAAAGGAAAATTGAGGTGAAGAAGTGGGTGATGCAGTTGACGGGGAAGCATGATCAGTAGAGTGGAGGAAATTAAAGTCATCAGAAGCAGAATAATATGGAGAATCCTCTTCGAACTGAACATGACGAGATATATGAACTCGACGAGTTGCTGGATCATAACAACGATAACCTCGATGTTCTGAACTAATTACTAAATAAACACAAGAAACAGCTCTAGGATATAATTTATCACGTTCGTGAGATGGCAGAAGAACAAAACATCGACAACCAAAAACGCGAACTAGATCATAACGGGGAGGATGAGTATAAACACGACTATAAGGAGTAGCACCGGAAAGAGAGCTAGATGGAGTGATATTAATGGCATGAGTCGCGGTGAGAATAGCCTCAGCCCAAAAACAACGAGGAACAGAGTAAGAAATGAGCATTGATCGGGCAGTATCGAGGATATGACGATGTTTGCGTTCAGCAACACCATTTTGCTCATGAGTGTAGGGACATGACTGTTGAAAGATAGTCCCATGAGAGGACATGATAGAGCGCATGGTAGAGGATAGGTACTCTTTGGCACAATCAGAACGAAAAACTTTAATACGAGATTGCCATTAAGTGAAAATCATAGCAGTGAAGGCTTGATAAGCAGTACGTATGTCAGAGCGATTCTTAAGTAGGTAAACCCATGTAAAACAAGAGAAATCGTCGATAAAACTAACATAATATAAGTAGCCAGATGAAGAAGGCAAAGGAGCTGGCCCCCAAATATCAGAATGTACTAAATCAAATAAGGAAGTGGATACAGATGTACTTATTTTAAATGATAAAGCAGTGAATTTAGCCAATTTGCAACCAGCACATGACTCAATACTAGAACTAGATGATACAGGACCAAGTACTCCAGACTGAATAAGACTCTCCAGCCTTTTATTACACACATGACCAAGTCGTCTATGCCATAAATTGGCAGGAAGCGAGGTAGAGGGTTTTGACGAACAAAGAGAAGCAACAAGAGAACGTGGACGTATGGACTCTGGAAGGTGAAGATATTCCAGAAAATACAGTTTGTGCCTCCTACGACCCGCCCCAACCGTCTTGCCCGTCTGTGGATCCTGCACAATACAAGTATCAGAAGAAAATGAGACAAACAGGCCCGCCATGCATAAAGAGCTAATAGAAATTAAATTCAAGCACAATTGTGGAGCCACATAGACGGGACCAAGTGTTAGACGACCAGATGGATCATTTTGTGGGGTAATAGAGCCATACTGAGTAATGGACAATGGTTGTCCAGCAGCTGTGTAGATAGGAGGAAGAGAGGATGAAGTAAAGACAGAGGATAAAAGTGAGGCATTACAAGTCATATGAAAGGAACAACCAGAGTCAAAAATCCAGAGATCATTCATACCAGAGACTGAAGGATTAGCTGAAGAACCAGCAAAATGCATACCAGAGAGTTGTGCGGCGGATGTAGAGGTGATATGTTGAAAAGCATCAAGTTGACGGCGAAGACTTTCAATAGCTTGAATAGTAGAGTCTGAAGTAGTAGAAGGTATAGCATTGGCCAACAATCCTGGTGTACGAGAGGGTTGAGACTGAGGGGGTCGCCGACCACGTCCAGTACCTGAGGAACGTAACTCAGGATGAAGCTTGAAGCATGTCTCAATGCGGTGTCCTTCCTTCTTACAATATTTGCAAGAGAGCTTAGATCGAGCCTGTGGAGAGGGAGCCTGTGGAGAAGTATAATTCATAACAGGAGCAGTGACAGGTACAGACAAAACAGTCTCGAGTGAAGAGGTAGGAGTGTCTGTTGACAAATTGAGTCGTGCTGTCTGCTGCCGGGTCTCATAAGCAGTGAGAGCTCCCATAACTGAGGCCAAAGTCGGAAATTGAGGCTGGTGAAGTAGTTGATCAGCCATAGTTGAATATTCAGGAAGGGACTGAAACAGTTGATGCACCTCATGTCGTTCGTACCAGGCTAGCCAGTCTTCATATGTGGAATTACGTCCAGGAAGCATGGAGCGTAACTCTGTCCAAAAAGCTTGCATTTGTCCAAAATGGGACTGCAGAGATGAACTACATTTGCGTTGTAAAGCAATGCGTTGCAGAAGATATGCCTCCCGTGCACCTGAGCACTCAGTGAAACGCTCGGTGAGACGAGTCCACATGGCCCGAGCAGAGGGAAGCGAGCCAATCTCGACAGTGAGACCAGAGCCAACACAGCGAGTGAGATAATCCATGACACGAAATTCCTGCAATTGCCACTCTGAACTCTCCTTGACATAGAGAGCACGAGCAGTCTGAAGATCGACATCACCACTGCCAGAGGCAATAGTACTGGATGAAGCAACAGTGCTGATGGACGGTGGAACTGGTCCCGTACTGGTGAGATGAGCAAGCAAACCAGCGCCATGCAAGGCATTGGTGACAATGGTGGACCACCCTGCCCAGTCACTTTGATCATTGAGGGGCAAAGGTGGTTTGAGAATCTTCTCTGAAGGAGCCATAACAGCAATGTTGAGACGTTAAGATGTCAAGATGCCGTTACTAATGTCGTTCGTTTGAGGCCGAGAGACGGCTTGAAACGACGATGCCGTTAATTTGAGACCGAGAGACGGTCTTGAAACGGTAATGCCGTTAAAATAGAACCCGAAGGTTAGAATGAAACCCGAAGGTTAAACGAGAACGCGAAACGCGTTAAGAGGCCGCAAAGCGACAAGGCCAAAATATCTGGTAGATAAAAAAAGAAAAAAAACATTAAACGACGACTGCAAAGCAACAAGGCCAAGATTTGGCAAAAGAACGCAGAAGCGTTAAAAAAAATTTTATTGGAAGGGAAATAGCCCTAGCTCTAATACCATGTTAAAGTAAGAGAGAGAGAATCTTGGGTAAATTTTCCTTGAATTGAATATTGAGTATGCACCTATATTTATACAAGTAGAGGAGTGTGAGGTTTGTTCTCCCAAGCAATGTGGGACTAAAACCCACTACAATACACTATTATCAACATTGACAAAACTGAATTGCACATGTTGTGTTAAATTCAACAAGTGAAAGACCTTATACCTTTAACAATCTCAGCTTCCTTCTCTAGGATTAGGATTAAAACATCGAATCATACAAGCAAGATATTCACATTTGCTATGTCTACTTCTTATCCACCTTCAGCTCTGGACCTTCAAATATAAATGCATAAATGCTTCAGCATGATTAAGATATAAGTATGATATTCATCCTCCCGATGCAGACATTGTGCTTATCTTATCAATCAGTTTAGTTGACTTTTCTCTATGACTCCACAATATTATTCCTGGAATCCAAGTTGCAACATGGGAAGAAACTCAAGTTAGCCACGCACCTAGACCACGTTATTTCCTAATTCGGCAATTCTGTAATGTCCTAACTATATAAGGCTATAATTTTCATTTTCCTTCTAATTATGTGAACATTCTAGTTCGTTGATCTGTTATTTATTTTATCAAATTTAACCCTTTTTCTGGAAGAGACTTCGCAGTTGTGAACTTGGAACCTCCCGTAACCCTCTTCTTTAATTTATCACCAAGTATGTGTTTACTTCCTATTTTACTGGAGGAGCAATAATACTTTTGACTGACCATTACACAGCACATGGGATCTTTAGATACTGTTAAATTAAGTATTGGGTATTGGGTTAATGAGCTATTACCCGTTAACTTTAACCCTATTTGTATGGCTATATATATCTCTCTTATTATCTCAATAAACGACTATTAGGGTTTTCTCTATTCTCTACATGGTATTAGAGTTTGGGAGATATCTATGCTGGGCATGATATCTCCAGAATCTAGTACCCAGGGTTTGGGAGAAGAAGATATTATCTCTCATATTCACTCCGTCCTCACAGCAACTTGCTGATATTCTTACCAAGGCTACTTCTTCAAAGGTGTTCTCTACTATATGTGACAAGCTGGGCATGATATTCTTACCAAGGCTACTTCTTCAAAGGTGTTCTCTACTATATGTGACAAGCTGGGCATGATAGATATCTATGCTCAAAGGTGTTCTCTACTATATGTGACAAGCTGGGCATGATAGATATCTATGCTCCAGCTTGAGGGGGAATGTTAAATTAAGTATTGGGTATTGGGTTAATGGGCTAGCTATTACCCGTTAACCTTAACCCTATTTGTATGGCTATATATATCTCTCTTATTATCTCAATAAACAATTATTAGGGTTTTCTCTATTCTCTACAGATACAATAGTCAAGATGACAACAAATAGTAGCAATGGACTTAACAAGTTCTTTGGCCATAATATAATCCGACGACAAGCCATGCTGATCAGGACGATGACTGATCACAGTTGTCTGATAACAAGAGGGTAGAAAGATAAGGGGTTACTCCAAAACACCGATAACTTGAATGCTTCAAAGGGCCATCCAAAGCTTATATGATCAGTGTTATTCTACGCAATAATGCATCTATAAATCTTCATTTGGTCAGAGGTTTTTAAACTAATGAAGGAAAAAGATTGAAGAAAGACGTTACAACAGTGCCAAGGGTCGAAGAAAGATTATGAAAGTATTTGAGTCCCCATTCTATTAGGAAGCATGCACTAACTGCTGAGCAAAGAAGGATGTCACGGGTTTGACACTATGAGCCGACCTTAATTATTGTGGTTAACTACTCTGGATGACTGTCAATATTAGAATAAGCACAAAGTTTGTGGCTAACTATCCCTTCATTAGTAGTGTTTGAGATATTACGTATGTGCAAATTGACCTGATCTATGCTGACTTACTTGCAAATACAATACGACAGATAGCTGATTCACACATTCGAATCTAGAACAAGAAATTTGTGAATAATCACTGTTCTTGCTGCTACTTCATAAGTTACTGATATATATCAGGGACGGAGGCCTCACTAATTTTATTATCATACTGTTCGCATATTCGGTGATCAGAAAGCATCCACTAGATAAAGGTTACATTGCAGAACTTCAAATATTTTCCTGAGAATTAAAGAAAAGTTCTAGAGAAAATATGTAAATATGTGAAATTGCCTGTAAGAAGAAAGTAACACTGCTAAAAGCCTTTAGAACGTCCAAAATTTCAGGTTGGTTCTCCTGCAACACACTACTAAAACATACAAATTTCAGGTTAGTTGATGGAAGCTAATGTTTCTCCAGCTTCATAAAGTTTCGGCATAAAAGCCTTGAGAGCACCGAGGTTTTGGAGTACAGGAAAATGTATCAGGAAAACTTTTTATTACTTATTTGTTCCAGATCAATACATAAATTTCGAGTTAGCACTGTTTGTTAATGTTGTTCTTTTCCTGATATCTTTTTCCCCCCTGTGAATATTGATAGTCAAAATGTAAATAGCAATTCGAGAGAAAATATGTAAATGTGCAGAAATGACCAGTAATTAGTGCAAAAACCTTGGAAGCAATCATTGCTTTGATAAAATTGTAGTCTAAAAATCTTATGCGGTGGTTGTGGAGTACATGAAAAAAAAAATAAGGAAAATTTAGACTATTTATTCCAGACTAACACATTAAATTTAGTAAAAATGCCGAGTTAGTTCTGTTTGACATTGTTGATTTACCTGCAGAAAATAGCTCTCCAGTAAACTCTGGCTTGTGAATCAGCATACTATGACAGATTATTGCAAAAAATATTCATGATGCTATTAAGTTTCTTTCCGAAACAACCTATTCCCTGTTTATGTGTTACCCAAATGAGTGTTGAGCTCACATCTTCGTTTACGTTTTACTTATTTTCAGCTTTGGATATAATTTGTTGCGAATTCTGTCTGCGGACCTTTATATCAGCATTACAGCCTGTCAGTTTTACATAATTTGCTGCATGATTAGTCTTTTGGTGCCAGTACCCAACTTCAGCCAGAAATTATTCCAATACTTAAACCCATTGAAAGAGATCTACACCAACTTACCGTCACAGTAATGAACGACGGATCTTACGTCCACATCAGCACCGCGCATCTCAGGAGACATTTCCCAGATGCAGCCTGATCCTTGGAATCATCCATGGGGCCTCGTCTCCTCATAACCAGTGTTAGCGATGCGGCGATGAGATTCTTACCCCCTGATAAACTATAGCCCAACTTCTATAAACTATTCCAACATATTGGGCCTGTTCATTCAAATGTCAACGGTTACCATCTGGTATAAATGCTCTTCCACTCTCATACTCAATTCATCCATCCATTCAAAACGTGCCCTCTTTGCATCCTTCTATTAATCCATGGATATCTCTATGGAGCCAGAGGTGAAGGACATGGCTCTTGACGAAACCAAATTCGATCTCCCTGTCGATTCCGAGCACAAGGCGAAAACCCTAAAACTCTTCTCTTTCGCAAACCCTCACATGCGAACATTCCACCTCTCCTGGATCTCTTTCTTCACCTGCTTCGTCTCCACCTTTGCCGCCGCCCCCATGATCCCCATCATCCGTGACAACATCAACCTGACGAAGGCCGACATAGGCAATGCAGGTGTAGCCTCCGTCTCTGGCTCCATTTTCTCCCGTCTTGTCATGGGTGCAGTCTGCGACATTTTGGGTCCTCGCTACGCCTGCGCATTCCTCGTCATGCTCATCGCACCTGCGGTTTTCTGCATGTCTTTGATATCCTCCGCGGAAGGATATATTGCGGTGAGATTCATGATTGGATTCTCGCTGGCGACGTTTGTGTCGTGCCAGTACTGGATGAGCACCATGTTCAATAGCAAGATTATTGGCATCGCTAACGGGACGGCGGCTGGATGGGGGAATATGGGGGGAGGAGCTACGCAGTTGCTGATGCCGTTGGTGTTTGATTTGATAAGAAAGATAGGGGCGACTCCGTTCATTGCTTGGAGGATCGCCTTCTTTATTCCAGGATGCATGCACGTCATAATGGGACTCCTGGTTCTCACAATGGGCCAGGATTTGCCTGATGGAAACCTTGGCAAACTCAAAAAACAGGGAGACGTCAACAGAGACAAGTTCTCCAAGGTAAATATTTGTCCGCCTGGATTTTGGCTGGGTCTGAAATTGGCTGGGTCAGTTAGGCAAAAGTTGTCCAAAACAAAACCAGTTTAATTTAGGTCCTGATTCGGTATTTCCCAAATTAAAGCCAGGTCCAAATTAAACTGGTTTTGTTCCACTAAGCCAAGTTAAGACCTATTTTCTACTATGAGAGGTTCCTCGTCTTATTTGCTCTTTTCATGATGTCAGGTTCTGTTGCACGCGGTGACCAACTACCGAACATGGATCTTTGTCCTTCTCTACGGATACTGCATGGGCGTCGAGCTCACCACCGACAACGTCATCCACGAGTACTACTACGACCACTTCCACCTCGACCTCAAGACCTCCGGTTACATCGCCGCATCCTTCGGCATGGCCAACATCATCGCCCGCCCCTTCGGTGGGTTTGTCTCCGACTTCAGCACCAAGCGCTTTGGCATGCGCGCTCGTTTATGGAACGTCTGGATCTTACAGACCGCTGGCGGTGCTTTCTGCATGTGGCTCGGCCAAGCCAAGTCCCTCCCCGTCTCTATCTTCGCTATGATTTGCTTCTCGGTCTGTGCTCAGGCAGCTTGTGGCGCGATATTTGGCGTTATCCCCTTCGTCTCTCGACGATCTCTTGGAATTGTGTCGGGGATGACCGGAGCTGGAGGAAATTTCGGCGCTGGGCTAACACAAATTATGTTCTTCACTAGCTCACAGTATTCGGCGGGCACGGGGCTTACTCTGATGGGGATAATGATAATGGCGTGCACGTTGCCTGTGGCTTTCGTGCATTTTCCGCAGTGGGGGAGCATGTTCTTGCCGGCGTCGAAGAGTGTGACTGAAGAGGATTACTATGGCTGGGAGTGGAGCGAAGAGGAGAAGCAGAAGGGCTTGCATTCTGCGTCCATGAAGTTTGCGGATAACAGTCGGTCGGAGAGGGGACGGCGCGCCCCAATCGCCTCGGTCCCGACGCCGCCAAATGCAACGCCGGTGCACGTTTAGACCTGAGAGCAAATGAGTAATAAGCATGGGAGAAAATGGAACTTTTTATGTTATGATCCGTGAGGGAGGGCGTGAGTGATCAGCTTGTGAGGAGAAAAAAACTGTATCTTTAAAACTCTCGTACACTTTTGAGCTGAGATGGTTGTATACATTATACGGTGAAAAGTTTGGATGTACTCTTTTCTTCAAGTAATTGAATCAGGAGTTGCTCAATCACTTTATGACTAATGATAGGATACAGATGCAGATGTGATAGTAAAGGGCGTCTATCCTCAATTAACCCTAATTACAAATTGCTAGAATGTGCAACGTTATGATTGTGTGGCAACGTTATGATTGTGTGGCAATGAGTGATGTTTGTATACACAACCAGCAGCAAGTGGTCTGGATCCATCAGTACACTTTTAGCTGTATTTTGAACCAGCTCTTGCATATATACTAAAGTTTATTATTTATAAGCATAGTGTTAACTGGTAGGGGGCAACATAGTGTGTTTTAGGAAAAATTTTGAAACTAGACCATTTTTACTAAATATTTAGCAAAATCGACCATTTTGCTAAATATTTAGCAAAATCGACCTCTTTTTGGCCAACAGGCCAAAAAGAGGTCCATTTTGAAAAACGCTCACTGAAAACATACGGGACTACTAGTCCTGTATGTTTTCTGGGACCTCTTTTGGGTTCAACAAAACGTACGGGAGTACTAGTCTCGCACGTTTTGCAGAGGCAATTAATATGCTAGCCCATTTCTACGGGGCTACTAGTGCCGTAGAAAAGTTGAACTATATAACCATCTATGCCATAAATTCTGCTATTCCCTTTAAAATCTGAGTTCTCTCTCACCGATATCACTCTCAATCTCCTTGACCTTCACTCCCAAACTCATCTCACTCCCTCTCAAACCCATCTCACTCCCTCCCAAACCCATTGAACTCTCTCCCAAACCCGATTTCCACATCTAAACCCGTTCTCTCTCTCCCAAAGCTAACTCACCCCCTCCTCCCTCAAATCCGACGCCGAACTTGATCTCCGACGCAGGGGGGCGTCTATACTCTCCGATAACAACGAGATCCGATTTCGTCAAGGTAACAATTTCATATTTTTTCATAAATTTCTTCAATTTCGTTTAGTTAATATGTATAATTAGAGGTATATCTAGAGGAAATAATTAATTATGATCATCAATTTGTAAAATATCCAATTTGTATATGTCAAATTTTAATTCTTCAGTTAAAATGACAAATGGAATTCCAATTATTTGCTTATTCAATGGGAAATTGAGTGTTAGAATGAATAATTTGCCTATATATGACGAAGGCTCTAGGAAAATATTCATGTTGTCTAGAAATTACAATTTTGATGGAATGATGGAGTAAATATACAGAGTTACCAGAATTAATCATGCCGAAAATGCCATTAAGGTCTTTTGTAATTGTCTAATAAATAAAAAAAGAACAATTGCTGTAGAGATCACCACTGATGAAGAATTGAATGACATGATACAAGTTGCGGATAAACAAATCGCGAGTTGTTCATTGAAAATATTCCAAAGTCTGGGGTTTTTAAAGTTTCGTATGCTCACAGAGAGTTCTCTCACATGCTTGAAAGTCAAATCTCGTTATCTCAAAGTGCCTTGTACTTAAAAAATGACGCAGGTGCAACGTCAAGTGACATGTTTCACAATGCGTATGATGATGTTTCAGTTGATTTACCGGTTGGTGGTTCTATAGTAGAAGAGGATGAATATGTAGATGCTGATGATGATAGTGAAGATGTTGAGTCCGAGGACGAATTTTGGTTGTATGCGAAGCTAGAGGGTCATGCATGTTTTGTGCATATTTTGTCTCATCCCAGCAAACATACGGAACTAGTAGTCCCGTATGTTTGCTGGGCAGAGCCAAATTGCCTCTGCAAAACGTACGAGACTAGTAGTCTCGTATGTTTGCTGGGCAGAGGCAAATTGCCTCTGCAAAACATACAGGACTAGTACTCCCGTATGTTTGCTGGGCAGAGGCAAATTGCCTTTGCAAAACGTACAGAACTAGTAGTTCCGTACGTTTTGTTGAACCCAAAAGAGGTCCCAGAAAACATACGGGACTAGTAGTCCCGTATGTTTTCTGTGAACACTAATCCGTGATTAGTGCCCTTAAAAACATACGGGACTAGTAGTCCCGTATGTTTTCAGTGGGCGTTTTTCAAAATCGACTTGTTGGCCAAAAAGAGGTCGATTTTCCTAAATATTTAGCAAAATGATTGATTTTATTAAATATTTAGCAAAAATGGTTTATTTTCAAAAAAAATCATGTGTTTTATAATGGATGCTAAGTATGGCATCTCAAGTGTCAGGCTGGTTTCTGTAGTTAAGCTTGCCATCAGGTTCTAATTCAATTAATTGATATTCAAATAGGCATGCTAACTTTATAGCCTCTAACCTCATCAAAATTAGCCTCACGACTTACTTGAAAGGGTAACCTTAGGAAGCAAATTACAGCGGTTGAACTCAGTTAAGAGGGATCTTTTGCCGTCGTCACCGCAGCTTTATTCTATTGAACCGTTTGTTATTTATTTAGTTAGTTATTTACCTTCTGTCTTTAGCGAGCAAGGCGAAAATGATACATGAGAAGGGGGAAATAAATAAAGGAACTACAAAGTGTCAGGCGCCTAACAATCCAAGCACCCAAAGCTTGGGTAGCCGTAAAGTTTGAGAAATGAGAGAGTGAGTCTCACCATCATTATTATTTGCATTATAAAATATTAATATTTTATTATGCATATTATTTTTTAAATACTATAAATATGTTCTAAATCCTTAAAGAAAAACGCATCCCAGAAACAACTCCTCATATAGAAGAGAGAGAAAAAAAAGAGTATCTCCTTAAAAAGAGAGATTGTGACCTCCAGAGTTTTTTCCTCATAGTGGTTTCTTCTATCCTTGCCCGCGGACGTAGGTAATTTTATGCCGAATCACGTAAATCTATGTGTCCATCTTTTTATCTATATTTTCACTACTATTGCTGCGATCCTGCTCTATTGGACCTCGGGTTTGTCCCAACAAGTGGTATCAAAGCCAACTTAGGGTGCTTGTATATATCTACTTATCTTATGCTATGTGGCTGCCACCAAAGGTGGATCCTCCATATCAGAAAATAAGTTAGGTTATCATTTACCCTTTAAATGTGATGGATACTATTCACGAGTACGGTAATGTTCATAAATACGGTATTATTCACAAGTACAATACTATTCACAGATAAGGTTATTGTTCATAAATGCAGTTACTATTTACGTAAAATAGTAAGAAGTTATTGTTCGTGGTAGAAGCAATGGCAGCGAAGTTCAAGATCGAAAAATTTAACGGGAGTAATTTCTCTCTATGGAAGATGAAGATAAAAGCTATCTTGAGAAAAGATAATTATCTAGCGGCCATCGGTGCAATAGCGGCCAACATCACAAATGATAAAAAGTAGAATGAGATGGACGAAAATGCTATTGTCAATCTCCATATGGCATTAGCAGACGAAGTGTTGTCAAGCATAGAGGAGAAGAAGAGAGCAAATGAGATCTTGGATACTCTAACAAAGCTATATGAGGCGAAATCACTGCACAATAAAATCTTCTTAAAAATGAGACTTTACACTCTGAGGATGGCAGAATCTACATCGATGACCGACCATATCAACACCCTAAACACATTATTCTTCTAACTCACAACGTTAGGTATACAATTGGTGTGAATGAACGTGCAGAACTTCTATTTTAGAGTCTACCTGACTCGTATGATCAACTCATCATCAACCTGACAAACAACATTCTCACAGACAATCTAGTCTTCGACGATGTTGCAGCCGCTGTTCTAGAGGAAGAAAATCGGCGTAAGAACAAGGAAGACATGCAAGCAAATTCGCAACAGGCGAAGGCCTTAACGATGACGAGATGAAGATCAACGGAACGTGGTTCCAGTGGGAGTCATACATATGGTAGATCAAAATCACGAAGTAAGAAGAAAATCAAATGCTACAACTATGATAAAAGAGGGCACGTCAAATCGGAATGCTGACACAATAAGAAGAGTGGAGATAAAAAGTCTTCAGAGCCATTAACATCTCAAGGATGCGCTTTCTGCACATCAGACGATGGTGAAATTCTATTCAGTGGAGCAACTACTGTTGATGAAGGCAGAAAAAGATTTGCTTATGTCTGGCTTCTAGATTCAGCAGCCTCCTGGCACATAACCTCTTGGAGAGAATGGTTTCATAAATATAAACCTATCTCAGGAAGATCTGTATTCATGGGGAATGATCATGCATTGGAGATTTCTGGTATTGGCACTATCAAAATTAAAATATTTGATGGTACAATACGCACCATTCAAGATGTGCGACATGTGAAGGGCTTGAAGAAGAATCTATTGTCTTTGGGATAATTAGATGAGCTCAGGTGCAAGATCCATGTAGAAAATGGGATCATGAAGATTGTTAGAGGGACTCTTGTGGTAATAAAAGGAGAAAAAATAGTTGTAAATCTATATATGCTTAAGGGAGAAACCCTGCAGGAAGTTGATTCATGTGTGGCATCAACCAACCATGGAGAAGAACAAACCATGATATGGTATCACAAACTAGGCAACGTGTCAGAACGAGGCTTGAAGATTCATTCCGATCAGAAATTGCTTCCTAGACTTAATTCGGTAGCTCTTCCATTATGCGAACATTGTGTTACAAGTAAGCAGCATCGGCTGAAGTTCAACACATCGAGTTCTAGAAGCAATGCTATTCTGGAACTGGTTCATTCTGATGTATGGCAAGCACCGGTTACATCATTAGGAGGAGCAAAGTATTTTGTGTCCTTTATTGATGACTACTACACGAGATGTTGGACGTATCCTATTAAGAAGAAGGCGGATGTGTTCTCAGTCTTTAAAGCCTACAAAGCATGGGTCGAGCTTGAATCTGAGAAGAAGATCAAGTGCTTGAGGTCAGATAATGGAGGAGAACACACAGACGATGAATTCCTAGCATTCTGTAAGCAAGAAGGCATCAAAAGATAATTCAGCACTGCTTATACT